CCCCCCCCTCCCCAGCCCTTCTTTCCGCCCCCAGGAGGGAGGCGAGGGCACGGAGATCGGCTGTGACCCCCTTGCCCCCTTGGCGTACGGGGGCTGGGGTGCCACGCGCGCGCGCGCGTGTGTGGGCGTGTGGGCGTGTGTAGCCCGAGCACACTTGCCCAGCACCGAGGTCCAGACGCAACCCCTCCACCGATCGGGGTCTTTTGCCTGGGGCGTGCATGCCTGCCCGCGTGTGTTCCGGCTGGAGGGGGGATGCTCGTCGAAGTACGTGCCTGTGTTCTGGGGCGGCAGGCGGCGCGAGGGGGGGGGGGTGGGGGGGTTCGGCTCGGGAAGGACCCGCGCCGCGTCGGCCGGCCCGAAGTACCTGCCGCATCGCGACGAGGGTGGGCAGTTGTCGGGTCGCACCCTTGCTTGCCGCGCTGACGCACGCGCGCCCCCCCATCCCCGCTCCTCGGCCGGCGCCTGCTTTTGTTGCACAGCCACGCGTTTGCCCCCTCGACCCCGTTCTCCCCCCGAGGGCGGGGGGAGCCCCGCCGCCCCTGCCGGCTCGGCGGATTGCTCTGCCAGCGACGCCTGGGCATTGTTGTCTCTTTTTCGGCGACCCAGGCGCCGGGCCCCCTCCCCAGGGGTCGACCTCTAGCTTGAATATCTGGCCTGATCGTTGCTCCCGTGAGTGCTCGCCTCCTCTCCCTACCCCCCCCCCCTCTCTCTCTCTCTCTCTCTCTTTCTCCCCCCTTGCCTACATGCATCTCCTCGCTCACCTCCTCTCCCTCCCTTCCTCTCTCTCTCTCTCTCCCTCCCCCCTCTCTCTCTTTCTCCCCCCTTGCCTACATGCATCTCCTCGCTCACCTCCCCGCCGCTTCCCGTCCTCCCCCCCTCCCAGCCCCCGGACACCTCGCCATTTTTCAACACCATGACTGCCCCCAACGCCACCCCCGTCGATACCCCCGTGGAGAACGTCGTCGTCGATGCCGCTGCCCCGCCGGCTGACGGCGCCGCTCCCCTCAGCAAGAGGTACGCCCGGCTTCGTATCCCACATGGCCCCCCCCCCTGCCCCCGCCCCACTCCCCTGCTGACCCGGGTTCCTTCCCCCATGCGGGGCCTCCCCTTGCTGGCGTCCCGCTCAGCGCCCAGAAGCGCCTGCTGAAGGAGCAGGCCAAGAAGGAGAAGGCCGCCGCCGCTCCCCCCAAGCCTGCCGCCAAGGCCGCCTCCGGCACTTCTGAGGCCGCCGAGGCCGAGCTCGACCCGCGCCAGTACTTCGAGCACCGCGTGCGCTCCCTGAAGGCCCTGCAGGATGAGGGTATCAGCCCGTACCCGCACAAGTTCCACGTCAGCATCTCCATCCCGGAGTTCGTGGCTCGCTTCTCCGGCATCGCCGACGGCGAGTGCAACACCGAGGAGGAGGTGTCCATCGCCGCGCGCATCATGGTCAAGCGTGTCCAGGGCCGCCTGGTCTTCTACACCATCAAGTCCGAGGCTGTCTCCCTGCAGATCCTGTCCTCTCCTCAGTGCGTTGCCTTGCTGACAGATGCACACACACACACACACACACACACACGCACACGCACGCACACACACACACACACACACACACACACCTGGACCCTGTCTCCCCTTCTCTACTCCTTCCTGACTCCCCCTCCTCCCCCTTCACCCACTTGCCAGGGACCTCACCGAGGGCGACTTCAAGAAGATCCACGGTGTCCTCCGTCGTGGTGACATCGTCGGTGTCCGCGGCTACCCCGGCAAGTCCAAGAAGGGCGAGCTGTCCATCTTCCCCCGGGAGATCACCCTGCTGTCGCCCTGCCTGCACGTCCTGCCGGTGGCCCACTTCGGCCTGAAGGACCAGGAGCTGCGCTACCGCCAGCGCTACCTGGACCTGATCATGCGCGATGCCACCCGGCAGAAGTTCATCACCCGCTCGAAGACCATCAACTTCGTGCGCAACTTCCTCAACAACATGGGCTTCCTCGAGGTGGAGACCCCCATGATGAACATGATCGCCGGCGGTGCCACGGCCAAGCCCTTCGTCACCCACCACAATGCCCTGAACATGGACCTGTTCATGCGCATTGCCCCGGAGCTGTTCCTCAAGCAGCTGGTCATCGGTGGTCTGGACCGGGTGTACGAGCTCGGCCGTCAGTTCCGCAACGAGGGCATCGACCTGACCCACAACCCGGAGTTCACCACCTGCGAGTTCTACATGGCCTACGCCGATTACCATGATCTGATCAACCTCACCGAGGAGCTGATTTCCAAGCTGGTCCTCGAGATCAACGGGTCCTACACCCTGACCTACCATCCGGATGGCCCGGATGGCGAGAAGAAGGTCGTGGACTTCACCCCGCCCTTCCGCCGTCTGTCCATGATGGACGAGCTGGCCAAGCATGTGGACCTTGGCCGGCCCTTCCCCACTGCCCTGGAGCTGGGCACCGACGAGGCCACCGCCTTCCTGGATGAGGCCTGTGTCAAGTACGGCATCGATTGCTCGGCTCCGCGCACCGGCGCCCGTCTGCTGGACAAGCTGGTCGGGCACTTCCTCGAGGTCCAGTGCGACAACCCCACCTTCATCACCGACCACCCGGTGCTCATGTCCCCCCTGGCCAAGGAGCACCGGTCCATGCCCGGGGCCACTGAGCGCTTCGAGCTCTTCGTTTGCCAGAAGGAGATCTGCAATGCCTACACCGAGCTCAACGACCCGGCTGTCCAGCGCCAGCGCTTCGCCGACCAGGCCAAGGACAAGGACGCCGGTGATGATGAGGCCCAGGTCCCGGATGAGGGCTTCTGCACTGCCCTGGAGTATGGCCTGCCGCCCACCGGTGGCTGGGGTCTCGGTGTCGACCGCCTGGTCATGTTCCTGACTGACTCCAACAACATCAAGGTGCGTCTCAAAAAGGTGGGGTGGCGCAGCGGCGGCACGTGTGTGTGTGTGTGTGTGTGGCTTCCAGCATTTATGCCCGTGTCGTCGCGTGTCCCCCGTGCCTGCTGGTGGATGACTTTCTTTGTGCTTTTTTTCTTTTTCCCCCCTCTGCTCACACACATGCGCGCATACCGACTGCCCCGGGCACTTGGCCTCCCCCCTCCTCTCCCCCCCCCCTCTCTCTCTCTCTATCTCTCTCGTAGGAGGTCCTCCTGTTCCCGGCCATGAAGCCCCTTGATCAGGTTGCCCCCAAGGAGGAGGGCAAGATCACCGAGGTCACCGAGGCCTCCTCCTAAGGAGGAGAACGGGCATCTGTCCTTTTCGTGTACGGTGTCAGCCGGCCTCCGCGCCCCTCTCCCTATTGTGGATGCAGCCTGAGCCCGGCTCGTACATGTCATAGCTTCCCCTGCTTCCTTCCTTCGGCGCCCCTCCCTCCGGGCGCATGCGTGTTCGCGTGGTCCTCCCCATGCCTACGGGGACACGCGCTCCCCCCCTCCCCCCCCCCGAATGACAACCCACCTCTGTTCACCCCCCCCCCCCCTCCCTTCCGATCGGTTGTCCCCATGTGTTGCTCTTCTTTTGGCGGGGTTGGGTCTTCGTTTTGTATGCGCGGGCTTGAGGGGAGGAAGGCACGACGCCATCCTTGTATTATTATGATCCTCTGTGGGCGAGGCAGCCGGGGCGTGTCTATGAAGGGGGTGGCAGGGCACAGGGGCGCGCTGCGGCCGCTACTGCGACGGCTGCTGCTGCTGCTGCTGCTGCCTGGCGCGCTTCTGCTGCTCCATGCGCTCGAGCTGCTCCTCAATCCGCGACTGCGGGGGGTGCTCCTCCAGATACTTCTGGTACTCGGCGGCCTTCCTCCGGCTCTCGAAGTGGTCGATCCAGACAGCCGGGCAGAGCTTGCGGAACTCGACAAGCTCCGGGCCGCAGGGCTGGTACGTGGCGAGGGCGCACGTGTGTGCGGGCGCGCAGCAAGCTAGGTGTCAGCATACGAGAGGACGCACCGGGGGGATGGGCGAAGGGGGCGAGGCGGAGCAGGTCTTGGGAGAGGGGGAGAGAGAGAGAGAGGCGTACCACGGCGGCGATGTCCTTCTCGGTCATGCCGGGCGCGTCGATGGTTGTGCCGACCCGGTAGACATGGGTTTGGTTGGCGGTGCCGCAGGCGAAAAACGCGTCACGGGCAGCCCAGCAAGCGAGGCGGGCCTCGCGGCGCATGGCCGGCGGGTGGGCCGCAGCAGGGGCGGCGGCGGCGGGGGGCGGATTTTGGGCCTGGTCGGTCATGTTGGAGGGGAAAGCGAAGAAGAGGGGGGGGGGACTGTGCTCTGCCCCGGGCGCTGGGGTGGCGCCGCCGCAGCCAGGCTCCCGAAGAAGAAGGCCTTCTCCCGACACTCGAGCCCCCCCCCCCCCCCCCCCCCCCCCCCCCCCCCCTCGCCGGTCCCCCTGAGGCCGGAGGCAGGCTGCCGGCACACGAGCCCGAAACACGCCTCCGGCCGAGCTGCCCCACGCGCCCAGAGCGTTGGCACCTATCTGCGCGCCCGCCGATCGAGCCCCGGCCCAGGGGGATCAGCCTTTGTTGCCCTCCGCCCGGCCAGCCATGTGTGCCTGGTGCCCGCTTCCGCCCGGGTGGGCGGGGCGCAGCGTGCATGGCGCTGCTGCCTCAGTGTCACTTTTATTGGGACTCCTGCCTGCTGTTCGCAGGGGTGGCGAGGTGTGTCCAGCCCCGCGCTCCCCGGCGCACAGCCAGCCACTAGACGTCCTGCACAGGCTCGCCCTCGCGGACGGCGAAATCAACATCGCAATCGCTGACGTAGAAGTTGCCGCGCGTGTTGAAGCGCGAGCCGGCATTGCCGCTGAGCTGGCACAGTTGGACTCCCGGTGCCGAGAGCACCACATCGGTCATATTCCCCGGAGTCGGTCCGGGCTCGGTGCCGAAAACAAACCGCCCAACCACCTTAGATGCATCAATCGGGTCGGGCGCGGCATCAAACCGCCGCTTCATCAGTGTGGCATGGAGCTGGCCATGTGCATGTGCATGTGCATGTGCATGTGCATGTGCATGTGCATGTGCATGTGCATGTGCATGTGCATGTGCATGTGCATGTGTGTATGTGTGTGTGCGCACACACACGCGAGGATAGGGTTAGGGGCATGGGCCGCCGCGAGGCATGGGTAGATGCGCATACATGCAGGAGGCGGCACGAACATGGAACTTGCGAAAGGAGGCATCCATTAGACCCGCCTGCACGAAGGTATCAACCAGCAACTCTGGCGGCGATCGGGAAAGGAGATGTGATTAGCAAAGGAGCGGCGCACGCGCACATTGTCAGCAGTTCAAAGTGATGCCACTTACCAGTAAGGGTGAATAGCGGCTCGTTGGTTGGGCGCGGGACGCTGGAGAAAACCACGGAGGCCTGGCCTGTTGGTGGTAATCGTGGCATTGTGTGTGTGTGTGTGTGTGTGTGCACGAGAGGAGGGGTGAGGGGGGGGGGGGGCGGGCGGGGGCGGGACGGTCAGGTGTGCTCAGCGCCGAACTCAGAGACGAGTGGTAGGAGGGCCCAGCAGACAGACGGGGCACACGCGACGTACTGGGAATCGGTGTGTCGCCGGGGCGACTGAAAACATCGATCGCACCAAGTTGGACCGGCAGCTCGGAAGCCTGGACAATGTGGCGCCTGTGGGGATGCACGTGCGAATGCATAGGCGGTGCGTCAGCGAGGGGGGGGGGGGGCGCGCACACGCGCCAAAGGCATGGCCCGACCTCCGGTCGGCATTGCTCTGGCCGAAAAAGACAACGCACATGCGAGGCGCCAAATCGCGCAGTGTCTGCTGGGCCAGGCTCAGGCGTTCCGGCGCGGCGAGATCCATCAAGCCAAGGGTCAGATGCAAGGTGGCCGGTGGGACTAGCAAGCCGCGCAGGGCATCCGCCAGGCGTGACGCGTGCGCCGGGGCCTCGGGGTCCTGGGTGCCGGCCATCCGCAGCACGGCCCGTTGTTGGGCGTGGGCCACCAGCAGAGCGGTGTCAGCTTCGCGACTGCCCGGAGTCAGCGTCGACGCCACACTGGCCAGGCTGACCGGGGACCATGAGTCTGCCGCCGGCGGGGAATACGGGATCCCGGCCGGCAGCAGCAGACGCAAGGACAGGAAGTGCGTCAGCTTCTTCCGCGGACCAGGCTGACGGACGAACGGGGCGGCGACCTTTCCCGCGCGAGACATGATGTTGGCGACGTCCTGTCTGCTTGTGTGTGTGTGTGCGTGCGTGCGTGTGCGTGCGTGTGCGTGCGTGTGCGTGCGTGTGCGTGCGTGTGCGTGTGTTTGATGTAGATGTCTATGCGTGTGTTGGGGGGTGAGGTAGGGGGAGGGGGGGGGGGTAGCTGTGAATGTACAGACAGTGCGCCGGCCCCGGACACACGGCAGCCCCAAATCAAGAAGATGCACTGCCCCGCCTTTCTTTTGTTTTTTTTCTCGGGCATGTGTTGTGGACAATCTGAATCTAGGGCCGGTTGGTTGGCATTTGTGCATTTGAGGATGCGCGAAGGGGCATGGGCAGTTCCTCCACAAGACACGGGGGGGGGGGGGGGGGCTTTTTTATTGGGGGAAAAGGACGGCTCGGGCACATCACGCACGGCGACGGCCGCGCATGTTTGTGTGTATGCACATCCCCCTTTTCTCTTCCGCGTCCTGCTGGGTGGGGCAACGGCAGCAGCACCTGCGCACGGCTTTCGCGGCGGGCGTGTGTGCAAGCCAGCGGCGTCTCCATGCAATGGGCAATCAGGCAGAGGTCTTGTTGGGGAGGAGGTCCTTCTCGCGGAGGTAGTCCAGGATGGCCTACGCACGCACACGGGTGTTTTTTTTTCTCGGGTGTCAGGAGACGGCCAGTTTCACGGGGAGATCTCGCGGTGTCTCGCCCTTCCTCGAGAGGAGGAGGAGGAGGAGGAGGAGGAGGAGGAGGAGGGGGGAGGGAGAGGGGGCGGGGCCAAAAATGCACACAGATACATGGGCGAAAGAGCCTTGCGCCACTCGGCGCGACGCGTACCTGGACACACTCCTCGACGGACGAGGCGTCGGTCTTGAGGTGCAGCTCCGGCTTCTCCGGGGCCTCATAGGGAGAGGAGATGCCAGTGAAGTCTGGTGCGCATGGCCGAGGCGTGGGGGAAGGGGCAGCAGCCGAGCAGCCGAGCAGTCAGAAACCCGGGATACACCCCCATGGGGAAGGGGGAAGAGGCGGGGACGGGGAGGGCTTGTTGACGTACCCTTGATCTCACCAGCCAGGGCCTTCTTGTAGAGGCCCTTGGGGTCGCGCTCCTTCAGGGTGTCGAGGGAGGCGTCGACGTAGATCTCGATGAAGGGCAGGTTGGCGGCCTCGTGCAGGGCGCGCACGGCATCGCGGTCAGCCTTGAAGGGGGAGATGAAGGAGGCGATGGTGATGGTGCAGGCGTCGGCGAAGAGCTTGGCAACCTCGGCCACGCGGCGGATGTTCTCCTGGCGGTCGGCGTCCGAGAAGCCGAGGTTCTTGTTCAGGCCGAAGCGGATGTTGTCGCCGTCCAGGCGGTAGGCGTTGACGGCTGTGTGTGTGTGTGTGTGTGTGTGTGAGCATATGGGCAGGAGGCGAGGCGGGCGAGAGCCTGATGTGTGGGTCAAAGCCGGGAGAGGGGTGCGGGGCGGCTGCGCACAGTTGTTGAGGAGGGTCTGCTCGAGGGCGACGCCGATGGTGGACTTGCCGGAGGCGGAGAGGCCGGTGAGCCAGATGGTGAGGCCCTGCACGTTGATAAGGTACGTGTGTGTGCGTGTGTGTGTGTGTGCATTGTGTCACATGGCCGCGGGGGAGGGGGAAGGTTGAGGTTAGTAGGGCGACCCTTGGGCGCGCGGGGGTGTCGAGCCAGAAGAGGGGAGGGGGGAGGGCGCACCTTCTGGCCAAGGAGGGCAGAGCGCTCGGCGTGGGTGAACTCGCCGGCGTGCCAGGTGATGTTGGTGGCCTTCTGCTCGACGGACATGGTCATTTAGAGAAAGGAAAGGAGGGGGAGAAGAGGGGGGGGGGGGGGGGGGGGCGGGATCTTCACTCAGGGGGTGCGGGCGGGCCGTCCGGCCATCAGGAGTGGCCTGGCGCCCCTTGTTTCTTGGCCGTGCGCTCCTCCGCGGGTCTCTTCCGGGTGCGCATGCACCCGCGGCATGCTTGCAGGCGTGAAGGCGGACTCGATGCGTTTCCCCCCCCCCCCCCTCTACCCCGACTGGGCCTGGGCGATCCAGTTGGCCCTTGGCTGGGCACAAAGCGTGAGCGGTCACCCGACCCGGTCTGCCGCCCTACTAGCCCCCCCCCCCCGGACCCTCGGCTCGGGGGCATAAGCATGAAAACATTGACGCGCGCGCGCGCGCGCTGCCGCCGCCCCCGACTGCCGCTGCCTTTTTCGCGGGCGCCAGAGCCTCGCCCCCCCCCCCCGGCCGGGCCGGCAGCCGCCAAAGCAAGGCACTTGCGTGTCGCGCGCGCATACGCGCCAGCCGGCCGGACAGAGTAGGTGGCACGTTAATTGAATGATCGGCCTTCCAACGCCCTTGCTCTGCTAAGCTGGCCCAGCACGCGAGGAAGGCTGTGTCGGCGGCAGCGGTGGGGGCAGCGCGGTGCGGGCACTGGCCCGGCCTCTGCTTCCTCCCCCCCCCCCCCCCCCCCCCTGCGGCACTTGGTCGTGGGGGGCGGAGCCCGTGCGTTGTTCGCCCCGCGGACGCCTTAACGCCCGGCGGGTGCGGTGTGCGCCAGCCGCCGGGGCCGGGCTACGGGGCGCCAGGCGATGCGTGTGCCTCACCCTGGAGTTTGTTTCCTCGTCGGCGGGGGCGGCGACGCGCACGGCCGGCGTGAAACCGAGAACCCCGCACGTGAACACGCCGCGGCTGACCAGCCCCGGGGAGGATCACGCCCGAATGTCAAAGTGCGGCAATCCGTCGGGATCGCCGGCCAGGCGTCGGCCAGCTCTCAGCCCCTGTGTCTGTCTCCCCTCGCCTGGGCACATGCCCCCGGACTCGGGGATGCGCGCGGGGGACGCGGAGGATCTCGCCCAGGCTTCGCGGCCCGACGCGCGACTTCCTCCCCGGCGAGGGCTGCCACCCCCCTGGCACGGCCCCTCTCTTCGGGGAAGGCAGCCAAAAGCCCGGGGGATGCCCCGCTGGCTCGTCTATCCAGGGGTGGGCCGGCGGCCCTCGCCGTCTCTTCGGCCAAGCGCGTCTCGTCGCATACGGCGGAGGCCGTCTTCTCGGTGTGGCATTGCACCAGGAACGCGTGCGCGCGGCTCCCGCCCCTCTCCCCCCCCTGCCGTTGGTGAGTACGGTGCCCGGGGCTCTCCCCCACCAGGTGCAGGCGCCCCTTGCCCGGGGGGGGGGGGGGGCTGTTGTACCCAGTATATGTCCAGCCGCCCTCCCTGCGGCGCGTGCGCCCCGGAAAGACCTGCCAAAAGATGCGCTCCAGCCGGCTGGCCGCCGGCCTATCCCCACCCCTCGCGGGCGGAGGCGCCGAGCATGGGGGGGGTAGTTTATGTTCACGCTGTCCCAGCCTGGGGGGGGTGGGCTACTTCCCAGGTACAGTTCCGTCCCGGTCGGCCTGGGGATGATCGAGTTCCAGGGGACGGCGGGCGGGCATCCCCCCCCCCCCC